CAATACAAAGTTCAAATCGATAATCTCCAGACAACTGAAACTCGTTCAAGTTTTTGAAAGTACGAGAGGAACAAGGAAAGTAATATTTTATTGGATATTAACTTAAAATTCTTTCACTTATACACACACACACACCTGCAGAGAGAGAGAGAGAGAGAGAGAGAGAGAGAATACACATATACACCTACCTACCTACCTACCTACCTACCTACCTACCTTCACTCACTCACACACACACACACACACACACACACACACACACACAAAGGTGCACGCACGCTTGCACATACACTACTTTCTCTCTGCATTAATGATATAAACAAAATAAATATATCATTCTTTATTTAATGTTCGATATCCAAATGTAGTTATATAAATAGTGATAATGAGAAATATTTTAAGACGTTACGCATGATTATTTTAATCATTTTATGAAATAATTCAAATAGTTTTGATAAAGGCTAATAAAATATTATCTATATATATATATATATATATATTATTTAAATTATTATTTATTATTTATTATTATTTAAATTATATATATATAATTAAAGAATATATAATTTGAATTTCTTTATAGTTCAAAGAATTTGACAATTTCTTTAGTATTTTCATAATAAAGTATACATTTGAGGATAAAATATTATAGATTTGTGTATTATCCAAAAATATTTGCTTTCTAATCCCAAAAATATTAAAAAAATATATATAGATGGGTGTCTTATAAATAAATTTTACCTTAATATATGTAAGATTTAATAGTGAGAAAATTTTTGAACTTTTTCGTTATCGTAGAAGGTTCGATAATGGTGAAATAGATTACTTTTATTGATGGTCCGGTGGTCGCCCCTAAAGATCCATCAACTATCCATAACATCCAAGGGAAGTCAATCACTAACTATAGTTTTGCTAAAGCTAAATTTTGTACATAGCAAAAAGCTCAGAGTGGAAGAAGTAAAAAATCTCAATTAGCATTGGCCAAAACTTTATAGCTTTACATAATATTTATAACTTTGATAAGTTCATCCATTGACCTTTCAATAATATCTTTTAAACCGTTTATCTTTTAAACATATAATAGGCTATGATTATGCATATCCAATAGAAATAATATATTTGGGGGTTGAAATCGGATATAAATATAAATAAATCAGTGTAAATAATAATCTATTCGATTTATATTCATTTAGAATTAGTTTTACAGAGATGAATCATAGGAGATAATTTATTTATTTCTCAATTTATTCATTGTGGCTGGCTATAATTCATAGCCTATACTGTTAATTATGTTATTTTATGCTATTCCATATATAGTATTGCCCATTTGATTTATGTAAAAACTTGTGTAAAAAAAAAAGATCTCCTAATTTCTTTAAATGATAAGTTTTCACATTTCTTCTTCCATTAATATATAACTGATAAAAAAAGTCTTAAAAGTATTGACTTTACCGAGATAAAGTAAGAATGTAATATACCATAAATTTCTGAGAATTTGTAGAGTGATTTGTAAATTTATAAAAGTTGAAGTGACCTATGAACCATGGAAAATAGAATTCAATAAGCGATTTCTTATTAAATTAGTGTCAAGATTAAAAAGTTCTAAAACATGTATTAAATAAATTGTTCCGAAAATATTGCAACATTTCAAAATTAATGTGTTTAAAGATTTACGCAAAACAACATTTCCATTTATCCAGTGCGAAGTTGAGTTTGTAAAAAGCATATCTCCATTTTCAAAATATACCGAGCGTTGCTACCCATGAGACTTGGACTTCGAGTTGAGAACGACGGAAGTTGAAGTGACACGAATCTTGGTGGTATAAGGCTAGTAAGTCGAAATGCGATAGTGTTGATTTCTTTTCTTTCTTTTTTTCAAGCCAATGCTAAAGAATATATTTTTGATAAATATTTTGATCTGTTTTGATTTAATTAAGAAAAATGTTTAATATTCTGTCATTAGCATTCTCGTTCTTATTTATATTTCATAAATTTCTGAACCTCAATGATTATTTATTGCCTATTATGGAGACAAGATGTGGTGGTAAAAAATGTTCAAAATACTTCTCACGCATATAGAATAGAATTGGAAAGGCCCACTATTTCCAAATCAAATAAAAGTTGTATTCTTTCAATCTTCTGAACTTTCAACTGATATAATAATATATGCGTTTTTCATTTTTACATTTTAAAGTTATTTTAGAGAAAATGTTTATTTTATATACATTATTAAATAAATTATATTAAAAAAACTACCAGGCAGATTATTATATCAATATAACTGACAAGTATTTTATTTTTTTTGTAAAGATATTTTTTTATTTCAATTTATATCTCAATCTCGTTTTCTTATATATATATATATATATATATATATATATATATATATCTTTTTATTATATATATAATAAATTATTTATTTAAAAATATAATTTTAATGAAAATAAATATTCTAATTAATAACTTAATTTCCATGTTAATAAATACATAGCAACAGTATTATATACATAAAATAAAATTTTTAAAATAATAAATTTTCTATAAACGAATAATACAATAAGAAACTTTGGATATTATAAATGAAAGGAAAATCAATATTTTACAACGGCAAAATAATAAACTATTTTAAAAGAAACCCATTAATATACGAAACAAGTCTCTCACAGATTACAACAGTTTTATTCATTATAACGAATTTATCTATATTGACTTTCAACGTTAAACTTTATAATTTATTATGTATTGTTACTCAAAACTTTAAGAGGACATAATTGGATAATAATTACAAAAATTTACTGAGAATAACTTTAAAAATTATGAGGAGCTGAAATAATTTCATAAAATTATTCCAAAGTAAAAGATAGAAAAAAAGTGTTTTATCGTGTTTTAAACAATTTTTTGAATAGTTTTTATTTACATTATCTTTTATTTTCTTACACTTCAGCAAACTTCTTCTTCTTTAATTTAATCCGTTGCAGAGATTGATGATCTTTAGCTAGTTCATTTTTAATAATTAATCCTATTTATCTAATGATTCTTTATTTGACATAATATTTTTTACAAATAAAAATAATTTATTTAATTATTAAATATCGAGTTATGTCAATATAGTATAGAAACACAAACGTTATAAATAAATAAAATTTAAATTATCTTTATGCAAGACATTACATTTTATCTGATTACAGCATTTAATAAAAATTCATAATTATTTTATGTCACATTTATTTTTTATTGAATTTAATTATCTTTTCCAACATGATTAATTATTGTTATATACAATCATTTTGTAGTTTTCCTCTAATTTCATAGAATCATATTAAAAAAATTTCCAATTAAATGTGAAGTTTTAAAGAATAAGTAAAAAGAACATAAAATAATATGGAACATTTTTACGTGTCAAATATAATGTGGAAAATGTGATACGTAAATTCTAATAGTGAACATATATATACATATATAATACATATACATACATATATATATATATATATATATATATATATATATATATATACACATATATATTGAAATGTGTATAGTTAATACGAGATGCATCATAAGTATTTTAAAATTATAATGTACTTATTCTTTGTCACTGATTAACTTTGTTATAAAAAAAAAAAGCGATATGTTATAATCTGTATTTTTGAAATATACTTAAACTTCATCGACTTCCCGTTTACTTTCTATGTCTGTAAATAAACTTCGATTTGCGCAATAAAAAAGTATAGAATGAAATAAATGTATATACTTTCAATTAAAATAACTTTGTCAATAACTCTTTTTGAAATAGCAGTTTTTCACATAAAATAAAAAAGAAATAAAAAATAATTTTCGCTACATATAATTGCATTGGGATTATATTTATTTTATTTTAATTCAATTTTCATAAAGACGTTTAATATTTGAAAATTTGAAAATATTAATTAAAATATAATTATTTGTTATTGTGATAAATTAAATGCAATATTTATTAGTTGGAATTACTATTTCTCTTCAGTACAAACTATAATATTTTTCCAATATCTATAAAATTGATTCTCAAAGTTCGCATTTCTTGTTTCAAGGTATGAAAACTACTTTCCACTTAAATTTCTATTTGATATAAATTAAAATAAAGTGATATATACTTTTTTTTTTATTATTAATAAATTTTTGCCATGCCTCAGGCTATGATAAAAATTTCAATAGCATTACTATTACAATAAATTATAAAACTTACAACAAATTATCTTACAATGTTTGTGGTACGCTATATAAAATCTTATAATCATAAGATTTTGTACTTGTAGCTCAATATATTATTAATATTTATATTATTGGAATAGTTTTTTATTTAAAACTTTTCATTTTTCCATACATTAAAAACTTAAGAAAACCTTTGTTTTACTATATTAATTAATTAATTGCAAAATAATAAGAAAATCTAAATTTTCTAACATTAAATTTATGATGTTTGTGTAAGTAAAAATTAGAAGATTACGTATAGAATAGGAGTGAGGAGCTCCAATTTTTTTCATTCTAGAACTTAAATGCATTTGAAAAACCAAATTTTCTATTCCTTCAAATACAAATAGAGCTTAAACGTTTTATATTAATTGTCATTTAGATAAATAATTTAATTGTATAATAAACTTAACATTTTATTTTAGCCAAAAAGATGTAGCAATATATAATAAAAAATCAAATTTTAAATAATATTATTTATCATTATCTGTCTTTAATCTCTTCTCTTATGAACATGAGAAAAACTAAAAGAAAAAATTATAAAATAGATTAATCAAATCTTCTTAAAATATAAAAATTCTACATTATTGGATAATTACAAATTTATTTTTGCCTTAAATATTTATACCATAGAATAATATTTTTCAATTTAATAGATGATGTTTTAATAATAGAAAATGTTGAATGCTGTAAATTATACTAATACTAATATAATTGTAAATAAATGTTGTTTTTTTCTTTTTTAATTTATTAAGTATTCTCGAACTCACCTAAAATGCCAAGTCTGTAATTGACGGTAACAACAACAAGTCCGCCATAACTTGCTAACACACTTCCGTCATATGGATTGCCACTGTTCCATTCGTAGCTTTCACCGTGGAGAAAGACAATTACTGGATAACTTTTACCCCCGTTACTTCGAGTGCCAGCTAGTACAGACAAAATAAATTCGTTTTTTTTTTTTTAGACTACATTAGCAAAGACAGAATTTTTGTTTACGATATAACAAGTAAACAGTTATTTAATATTATATTTTTGTATATTATTTGCTATTAGTTCTACTAAATATGTTGTTAACTTTATAATTTATTAAGGTTTGAGAAGTGGCCGTAAAATTAAAAAAATATGTTGATGCTCGGGATTGAAGCAGTTTAAGCAGAATTTAAAATTGGGAAATTTATAAGCTCTCGGGCACTCGTGTTTGTAAACACGACACAGCGAATTCGGGATTTTTCCTACGCCTTAAATTCTAATATTCGACAATATTTCCGCATAGCAACAGGCATCGGCGCTGTTGCCGGCGTCGCAAGCTACCACGCGATGATTATTAAGAGCAACGCCCCACGCACCGTAGCTCACTGCATTTTTATCTAACATTCAATCAACAGTCATCGTTTATCGAATCCGTTTATCGAATTAGCGTATTTTCTCAATCAATCAGGTATCAGTTATCAATTACGATTACGAAATTTAGCCGCAAGCCCGTCAATCGACCTACATCACGTGCTTGCATTATTAATAGAATCTGCAATCACAAGTTAGTAATTTAACAGTGACGCCATTGGAATTATAATCAATAAAGTGTGCCAGACACGCAGCCAAAACAGCATGCCCTGAAGGTCGTTCATAAGGTACATCCTCCATTTATTATTTGTACAAATTGGTCATCCACGCTCGAATTACGGTTTACATAAAGTCTGCCACGAAGGCTGGAGCAACACGCTCTCTCAGGCCAACCAGGCCGGAGAATGTTCTTTCACCTCTCCAATCCGTTTAATTAAACAATCAAGTGCAGACTACTGTTTCTCAAATAGTCGACTATAACTATCTATTATTAAGTCCTTCCGTCCACGAAGGGACTCTCTAATACTCCCATACTTCCTTCGGAGCATGGTCGACTTACGTAACCACTACCACAGAGACTACAGTATTTTCTCCTTTTAAGTATGCTTACTCTCCCTACGATGCCTTATTGATTACCATTATGATTATCATCAGCATTACCATCTTCACATGCTCATTGATGAGCTTTGTCGACTACTCATGCTGATCCTTACAACATCAGGATAAACTCAATACTCAACATCCACAGTAATATCCATAGCATCAACGACAACGAATGACACGTGTGGAAGCACACTCACTACTGCAATAGAATAATTTTCTCTCTCTCTCTCTCTCTCTCTCTCTCTCTCTCTCTCTCTCTCTTTCTCTTACTCGAAGCTACCAACAAAACTGCAATATTATAATAATTCGTAAACCAGAATAAAACAATATCTTCATTCAAAATATATATTACATAATATTTTCAGACCTTTCACCTTGTGCCTTTTGCCTCCTAATCGCTACGGCGAGAGACTAATCCACTGAACTATTGAGTCGATAGTTCGAGCCACAAAACAAACACTCACGTTCGAATATTTCGTCCTTCGAACCGGATTGTCTCATCGCCAGATAGCAGATTCCAGGAAACAAGCCGGACCTGCAAACATCTGGTCTGCCGGACACAGTGTAAAGCGATACACCCTAGACAACAGGTGATCCTACACTTGGAATCATTGAAGACTTGATTTCAGTGGCAGATCTTCGACCCCCTCTTCGTCAATTCATAAAAAATAAGTGAGATATCAAAAAAGGCCACAATGGATGTCAAGAGCACCAAGACCCCCAAGGCTACCAAATCAGCGAGGGCCCGAACCCTTCGCAGCGCCTCATCCCCACAGATAAACAATGAATTTTGCAATGAAAATAAAAACACTGTACAAAATGTATTCGATGTTCGGGCTTGTTTTACCAAGACCGGTTCGAAGGATACAAATTGATGCCATTGACAACTCAGAGATCACGGGTGTTGTGTGGTATGGTCGATGAAAGGTCACAAGTGGAAGGGATATTATAATAATACAATATAAATATGGCTGATGTATATGCTATTTATTCTGTTATTTGTTGATGTCGAGGGTGACTAGTATTACTATTATTGATTATGGAAATAATTATCGTGGTGGAATAATGTACACGCTCATCTATGCAGCGTGATGGTTGACTGTGAGCGCAGAATGGCGCGAAGTTCGATTCGTCGACACTCGCGCTGTTTGGATGAGCACGTGCGTAATTGAGGTCATGGTTGGTATGTAGCGCTGCACATGTAACTGTTGTTATGAGAGAAAAAATAGTCGTATCGTATCAAGCGTACCTTGTCCTGATATTGGCGTACTGCAATATATTCAGATGGAAGTAAGAGTTTGAAGGGCCTTTACCTCATGAAGGATACTGCTACTTGTTGTGTCTTTTGCGAGCGTTGAACAGCACGCTGTGGATTCTTAAGAGTCATACTTTTCACAAAGATGAGGATAAAGGTCGGCAAGTCCCGCACCAGATAATGCGACTTTGCCGACGAGGTTGGAATTATTCCGCACTGTCTCTCAGGTGAGAGCCTCTTCTTCGTGGTTGATTGTCGAAGACGTATTCTGATTCTTAAGTATACGTAATTATTGTAGTAATATTACTACTTACGAAGACTAATCGTTGACTCATCTCCGGACTCTGATATACGGATTGTTGTCGCTCCCTTTGAACATGTAAAGACGGTTTCTTGAACTGCGTTAGCGGACATACGGGGATATGTCGTCGTTCCTCCAGGACTTGTAACTACTGTTCCCGTGACAGCGTTAATGGACTTCCACTAGACACTTATTTGAATACGAACTGTATCAAGAGTGTACTATATCGAGAGTATTGTATCAAAAGTGACGAATATTGAAAAATGCGCCCCTTAAATACATTTTCTGACCGTGAACTTCACTTGAACCCTTTTCCTTGTTTGTCGTCCAATCAGAGACTTCTCCCCTGCAGAGCGCGGGCAGCGCCTCTTGTTAATTAAAGGCCATAGTTGTCTCTTGGTGTTCATGGCAAGAAGAGCTCTCGTTGCCGCTGACGCATCTGGCGACAGCATGACAACTTGTTGACAGTGGGAGGGGGGAGGTGTCCTCGTAGGTCCGCTCGCAATAATGCTTGAAGTAATTACCGAGCGGAGCGAATTCGTACATATGCCTAACTGAGTGGTTTTTTCCGTGTTTATTGTATTGTTTTTCCAAATGTTTTATGACACTATTGCTAGATATTTGAGAGCAAGAAAGTTTTGAAATCTAAACATAAATTTTACGATGTTGTTTTGCCAGATGTTATATTGCATTGAAAAAAGGTCTCGCAATCTCGAACAAACACAGATTAAGCGCATTGAACTATTACAGACCCTCCCTGAAAAATATGCCACACCTGAACCCGACGTCACATTAGAGAAACTCTCGGTCTCATACTCAGTGGCAGAGGAAATTCACAAGGCCTTTGCCAAGGAACGTGCATACTTGGAGATCATCTGGCCAGATGATCAAGAAAACCACGAATATCTGACATCCGATGCCTTCATGGGGGAAGCAGTTCAATACTAGAGCACGCGAGGAATCATCATTAAGCTTCACCAAAGATGCAAGGTCGAATGCAACGAGCAAAAGGCTTCACCATCTCAAACAAAATCAACCGGGAGCAGATTACCAGTGATAAAACTCCCCAAGTTCTCAGGAAGACAAGAAGACTGGGATCGATTCAGCGATCTGTTCACAACACTCGTCCTGGATAACAATGACATTAGTCAGGAAGACAAGTTACATTACCCCTACACTTCGTTAGACGAGTCAGCGCTGCCACTAATAAAGGGACTCCCATTAACCAACGAATCATTAATGCTAGCATGGGAGCTCCTCAATCAGCAGTACATCCTTAGTTCTGCTAGCAGTACGTCCTTCTTAAACTATTCCCTCTAGTAAAACCGATAAAGGATGACGCGGACAGTTTAGATAACCTGGCCAAAAGATCCGAAGGGGCAATTCAGCACCTCCTATCCTTGAATGTACTGCCAGACTTATGGAATTACATATTAGTACATCAGATTTCACTCCACTTTGACGGCGCTACCGCTGAGCTATGGGAAGCGTCACTTGGGACATCCATCACATACCCTCATTTAGACCAATTAAAAACGTTCCTCACAACGCGAGTGAGGTCTTTAAGACAAGGCAAACATGTTACACTGGTCCCGGTACACTCAACGAGATCCTTGCCGATGCGGTCTTTGTCCTCAAAGAGAAAATTCTCTAACTGCTGCCAAATAAGTGTAAAAAAACCTCTGTCAAGTCGTTCTACAGCACAATCCAAGACAAATTGGTGCTCGTGTTGCCACGAAAACCATATGATTTTCTACTGCGAACAATTTAGAAACATGTCAGTCGTAGATAGAAGAAACCTTGTGGTAGAGCAAGGACTGTGTGTAAACTGTTTACGTCATCACAACGTTGACTCATGCCGCGGACACTATAGATGCAGAAAATGCCATAAACAATATAATACATTGCTACATGAAGCGCTTAAAAACTAAACTTTAAACAATAACACAGCAGCTCACTATTCAGTCTTCAAGCTTCTTTCTACAGTGATCACTCACTGGAGATACACACGTACGTAATTGCTTAACCAATCAGCGATTTGACTATACAATAGTGAAGCACATTTCAGAATCCGCTAATCAAACTTAAACGAATAACGCGATAGTGCTAACTTAATCAAGAGTGAAATTATCGAATCATACTACATATATTAGCGGATTAAACCGACCCTAAGATAGCAGCAGCGGGTCCCCCTTTAGAAAGCTTCGGTGCAACAGCAGCAGTTCTTACGCACCGACACAAAGGCAGGAGCAACCCAGTCTCACTTAGGCAGCAGCGGTACAACAGAGGCGGCTCACACGCATACTACTACAGCGGCACTTCTCGGAAGGGACGGAGTCACTCCTCGCATAATGAAGAATACATATACTCTCCTCAGCACGTAACACTATTGAAGAAACTTCCTCTAACTATTCGCTCGCACCTTC